TAACTGAACAATACTGTGAACCCTGTTACTGCTTGCCTTCCCATAAAAGAAACTTAATAATTGCCTTTCAGAAATTCCCAGCTCTGGTCCATGTTCCTTGTGGAAGGAGGTAAAAATGTAAAAATAAACCAATATATAAATGACATAAAAGTAATGAAACCGGGTACACAGATTTCATACAAAATTAAATGGGATCAACTTGACATACCCATTACAAAAACAATTACTCTCATGACTTTATTCCCTGCTACAGCCATCTCATCTTGTCTGTCAATTTTAATTTAACTGTTTGCTGGAGGCTCAGGTTCTCCAGCCAAAACGTGTAATTTTGAGAAGATGAAGGTAAGTGACAAGTAGTCTTGTCTGCAGGGGGCTGAGCACACTGAGCTCCTCACTGCTTGAATAAAACATTGTGAGTGCTCAGGCTCTTTTAAAGACAAAACAGCTTACTGGGGTCACTGATACAGACTTACAGCTGGGCTTTTTAAATGCATCTAAAGAAGCCCCACTGACTTGATCCATTTGGGGTATACAGCATTTAAAATGCTGAGTTAGAACCCTTTTGGTTCAAGTTTGCCATAAGCTAAACTAGCAAGTGACTAAACTTCCTGTAACTTTTCCTGCAAGAGTAATTCAAAGCAAAGCCTGGCCCTGTTTCCAATCGTCCCTTCAATGCCCAGCACATTTACAGTGCTGGATAACTAAACGGTTGCTATTTTTAAACCACAGTGACACTCATCATGCTGGGACAGGCCAAGCAAGACGAAGACCAAGGCTGGTATGGATAGCCAGCTCTGAGTTCTGGCTGCAACGTGAACAAGGTGAGAATCAGCTCCTTCACAGTTAACAGCTAAGTCTTAACAGATTTAATGTTTGGAGCTGTTGTAGGTAGCAGTAGACTGGGGACTTCTATGTTACCTATTAGTGGCACAAAAAAGCAGTATCTCAACAGGGACTAAAAATTTCAGATTGTGCTTCTGCTCCCTTGTTGCTGAGGTTTCAGAACTTGATCCCCAGGGGACTCTAAAATCAGGACGCAAATCAAAATACAGCTATGGACCAAGCAGAATTTGTGTAGCATTGCCCATAATGAACTGAGAGGCTCTATCTAGACTGAGCCAAATACACTGCCTTTCTCTACATTCTTTACTCCTGCAAGACATAATACTTGCATTTTATTTCATTTTTAAGGGGGACCAGTGTCAATTAATTCTCCTGCTGGCGATAAATTTTGTTGCCGGATCACACGTGCACCTAACTAGGCGGAGCAGAATCTAACCGCTGCCTTAGTCCTTTGGCCCACTGGTACAGCAAGCTTGTTCACACTTTTCCTGCAACTGTCACCAGCTCTGTGGTGGCCAGGCCCTAAATGACTGTGCTGCACTGAGGTCCATGCAGCATGCTTGGGCTGCTCTGCGATCTCTCAGGGAGCTGCCATTAACTACATGCCTGACCAGCATCAGGCCTTTCCCACACTCCAGCTGACGCAAGCACAGGGTAGCAAAGGACAGTAAGTTAGTGTAGTTCAGATAAAGGTTGCCAGCACCTCTGTGTAACTGGCAGCTGCCACTTTTAAATTACGAGGTAATTACTAGTGCTGACTCAGACCATTTGTTCAGAGGCTTTGATGATAAACAGATTCAATGAGGGACAAAAAAAGCTCCCAAACTGTCCACTGCTTCTGGGAACTGGCATATGAACCCAGAGTGAATCAACGCTCAGAGGTATGCAGCACATCCTTCTGGTGCATCATTTCAGCTTGTCTCAGACGCAGGTGGACTCTTGTGCAGCTCTTTCTTCTGCAAATAAACAGTTGTGCTTGAAAGCAAAAGCACGCTGAACCTGCAGTGCCAGAAGAGCCTTGCAGGTCATCCAGGTGGAAAGCCAGCCACATGTGTCGCTCCCCTAAGCAATCCACTGGCTGTCCTCAGTGTAGCCAGATATCCTGCAGATAGCGATGCTTTTAACTGGTACAGATGCAGCCCCATATGAGATTAAAAACAAATCCCTTGCACGTTGCTCACTAGCTTCTGATCTGAGCCCCAGAAAGAGGTACACAGGCTTAGGTAAAGTAGGAAGGGTACAATCCACTCAAGAAAGACATATACGTCCTCCTCAGGCAGAAGGCAAAGGTATCCCTGTCCCCTTCTCATCCTATTAGATGCAGAAAAATCCTGGCTTTAAAGATCTGCCAGGATATATGTGTTCTCCTCAAACTACAGTATTCACTGCACATTTTTGCTTGTTAAGAAGTATCTTTTTTTTTTTTCCTGCAAAAACAAATGCCCTTGGAACTTGCCAGAACTCATCAAAACCTTTTTTGCCCTTGAAAAACTCTTTACTATCATCTGTCATGCCCATGTCCAACTGATTTTCTTCTTTTCAGAAGTCTTCCTCAGACAGTAGTACTGAACCAGGCTGTGTCTAGGAGGCACAGACTATCAGATAAGCACAGTGTCCACAAGCTTTCTGTTTCCCCATTTTCACATAGGCTTCTCTTTTAATGAGCCTGGGTTTTCTGCCAGACCAGGAAAGCTAATGATTTCTTTTGTCTCCAGTTCTCTCCTGCACAATGTCTACCACTAGCCTTCCTCAATCTCCATTATTATTGCAGTCTAGGAGCTCATAATAATTTAGTATCTTCATCAATGACACAGATAGTGGGATCAAGTGCACCCTCAGCAAGTTTGCAGGTGACACCAAGCTGAGTAGTGTGATTGACATGCCTCAGGGATGGGATGCCATCCAGAGGGACCTGGACAAGCTTGAGAAGTGAGCCAGTGTGAACCTCATGACGTTCAACAAGGCCAAGTGCAAGGTTTTGCACCTGGGTCGGGGCAACCCCTTGTACCAATACAGGCTGGAGGATGAAAGGATTGAAAGAAAGTAAATTTTATTGCGGAGAAGGACTTGGGGGTACTGATGGATGAAAAGCTGGACCAGAGCCGGCAATGCATGCTCACAGCCCAGAAAGCCAACCGTATCCTGGGCTGCATCAAATGCAGTGTGGCCAGCAGGTCGAGAGAGGTGATTCTGCCCCTCTGCCCCACACTGGTGAGAGCCCACCTGGAGTGCTGCGTCCAGCTCTGGGGTCCTCAGCACAGGAAGGACATGGACCTGTTGGAGTGGGTCCAGAGGCGGGCCACAAAGATGGTCAGAGGGATGGAACACCTCTCCTGTGAGGAAAGGCTGAGAGAGCTGGGGTTGTTCTGCCTGGAGAAGAGAAGGCTGCAGGGAGACCTTACTGCAACCTTCCAGTACTTAAAGGGGGCTTATAAGAAAGACGGGGACAAACATTTTAGCAGGGCCTGTTGCGATAGGACAAGGGGTAATGGTTTTAAACTAAAAGAGAGTAGATTTAGACTAGATACAAGGAAGAATGTTTTTACAATGAGGGTGGTGAAACACTGGACCAGGTTGCCCAAGAGAGGTGGTAGATGCCCCATCCCTGGAAACATTCAAGGTCGGGTTGGCCAGGGCTCTGAGCAACCTGATCTAGTTGAAGATGTCCCTGCTCATTGCAGGGGGGATGGACTAGATGACCTTTAAAGGTCCCTTCTGACCCAAACTATTCTATGATTCTATGATTCTATGATTTAGGCCAAAGGAGACAGGTGTAAATGCTCTGTAGTAGGCTGTCTCTTTGTAAAGTGCTAGGTGAACCAGTGCACATTTTTATGGTGCATTTTAACTCTTCAGAAGTGGCACACAAAAACCGCCACAAGAGCCAATGTCTCGGTGGAGGACAGGAGGTGGGATCAAAGATGCTTTCTATCTAGTGTGATGTCTGGGATTGTTGTGGTCCTATCAGCATGTCTGTGTCAAAGCGTGAATTCCGTTTTGTTTTGTGGATCCCATTCTGCTTTACAATCTGCACTGTCACCTTCACAGTGCTGCAGCTTTTACCTGTGGTAGCACCTGGACACACTGGGAAAAACCCACATGCTGGAGTGGTTGTACCAGACAAGGCCAACAAATCCCATCAATCCTGAATGTCTGGAACAGTAGGTAAGGTCACTGGCTCTGAGAACAGCAGTTTACCAGATGGGACCAGAGCCTGAATCTACCCCAGCAGAGGAGAAGAATCAAAGGGACCCCTTAATAAACCAGTGTATACTGTAGGACAGGAAACATTCTCTAATGAAGTATGCAAGAAGCATGTTGTCTAAGGGCAGTGACTATACCTGCCACTCATAAGAGTAAAGACACAGAGGTTTTCTGGAGTCATCTGCTTTTTCAAAAAGTCAAAATTCTCAGCAATTTCTGGAATACAGTAGCAATGGAAAATAAATTCCTTTGCAAAGCCTGTCTTCCTTTCCTCTCCCCTGAGGATTTTAGCTCAAAATCCAAGCTCTCGCATGCTGCATGATTTGGGGCTACTCTGGTGCTTTGTTATCCAAAAAAGGGTGGGAAACCTGTACAGCAGGATTCTGCTGCCTAAGATGACTGCCCAGCAAACGCAGGAGGGAGTCCTGGGGCTACAGTCTCCCTGTGACTGAGAGTGCTTTGGAAGTCCTGGGCCCTCATTAGTGTTACAGCTGTAACTCAGCACTATACCAGGGAAATCCTAGCTGAACTTCGCCAATTCACCAGGCACCCACTTTCTGCAAACACAAGAGAGCATGTGGGCCAGCCGGGAACCCATACACCAACAGGACACCCCACCTGGACAAGCAGAGGGCCAGAAACTGCAGCCTGGCATGCCATGTTCCAGCATTTAATTCATACACATCCCGAGAGACCCATAAGTCAGAACATTGCCTAATGACTTCCCAGACCACGCAGTGCTGCAGTGACAGCTAGCCACCCCCAGCTCGTTCTCCCTGTCGCCCCCTTGATGTCATCCCTCCCTCAGATCTGCTGCCGTAAGTGTTGGTAACAGCTTCCTAAATGGGAATAGAGGCATGGGCCTGTTTCCAACAGATGCCTTTTGCACAATTCCACTCCAGAAGTTACTGGATGGCTGGTTCACTGCAATTGCTCCTGTGTGAAATTCGTACCTGTATTCAGCAACCCCTCCTGCATGCTTCTTCATGGCTGTATCAGAGCTCATTCCATAGAAGAGTTTCACCTTCTTGCCATTCTTTTCCATAATCTCTCCAGCACACTGGTCATGGCCTGCAAACATTCCTCCAAGCATGACAAAATCAGCACCGGCTCCTGTGATCAGCAAAGCGACATGTAAGAAAGCACAGAAGGGAAAAGACGGTGAAAGACAAAGCAAGAACACAGTGGCCTCCAAAAACAATAGCCAGCCCTAAACAGAGAGTTTGGTACAGAGAGTCCCTTCCTGTAACAGACGCAGCAAACTTGGAAAAAATGCTTTACTGAAGAACTGACACATGCCGAATTGTATTTCTCTGGTATTTTAAATGGAAAGACTTCTTTTCTGTTGTGATGACAAAGATATAGATTATTCTACTCCACCCCACACTCTTTATTTTCAAATTCAGTTTTAACCCGTTACTTCATAATAGCATCTGGGCACAGTTCCTTATTAGCTATATTGTGACTGCAGTACTCAGAAGCCCTAATCACAGGGCTGGGACCTGTTGAGCTCAATGCTGTACAGAGAAGAGGACAGCTCCTACTTCAAGACCTCTCTAGGCTACAAGCTGTGAGTGGGAATGTACCCTGAAGGAAGGCATACTCATGAATGTAAGGTACTACTCCCAAGATTGACATAAAACAAGCAGATTTTTTAATGAAACGATGGATTTTTCAAGTCCATCGGCCATATGTGTTCAGTGTAGGTCTGGGTGATCCCTTGTCAAAGAGATCTGGATGGGCCTGCATTTGGTTCCTATTGTTTAAAACCTCTGGGCCAAGGACCACCACCCCTGGGTTCTGTGGTTCTCAGCATGCACCACAAAGGGGGTCTAACCCGTAGCTACAACTCCTAAATATGTTCCAGATACTAACAACACTGAATACTCAGTCATGCCTGTTCAGTCTGTCCATCTCCCCTGGCTTTGCAAATCATGAAATCAATTCCACTGGGAGTAAGATCAGGAAAAAGGTTTTTGGAATCACTCTTGATTTTCTACTGTGATTTCCAAGATTTCCAGCTGGGCTGGAACTATTCCACCAGCAGCTCCTCCTGTGATATTTTGGCATAACTAGTCTTGCTTGGAAAAGTTTGGCTTTTACTCTTTTATAAGCCTGTGGTGACCCATCCCTGAAACAAAGCATTTTCCTGTTCAGACTCTCTGCTGCTTCAATGTGTATGTGTCAGAACAGGCCTCCCCTCTGCCCAACTTCTTCCCAGAAATGGCAAAAGAACAGGGCTATAAACCTCACTTCGTAGAAAGCAGATGAGCCTGAACTAACCCCACCCTGTTATGAACATGACCAAACTCTGGGGAGATCCCAGGCTAGGTAAGTCTGGCATTAGGATTTGCTCTGATCTCTGTCTCTAGCCGAACAATAGCACTGGACCTTGAAATCTGAAAAGTAAGTGACATCGTTGTCAAATCTGCTCAGCTTCTGCCATCTGTTTAAAAGCTCTGTAGACAAACCTGAATTCGAGAATATTTTGATCTTAGAATACATGACAACTCTGGAGTATGCACTGATTTATAAATGCCAGTTCCCTCCCTCCAGCCCTTTGCCAAAGAGCAGACCGAGCAGCAATGGCTGGGAGCAGAGCACCCAGCTGCTCTGCTGACCTCACCTCCCTTTGCCTGGTTGTTGTTTGAAAGGAACAGTATGTCCATGGTAAAGCGATATTAAAAATGAGGCTTGTGCAAAACTGCTGAGCACATTGCAAGCAATATTTACAGCCAGGCGCCCACTCAGGTGTCCTGTCATGCCAGCTACCTGGCAGATATTTCCTGAGCTCTCTTGTTTCAGATGGCTTAGTTTTAAAGCCTCAGTTTGACTCATGCCTGATACTACTATTAACATGTCAAAAGCGAAGGGAACGCTCATCCTTTAAGACATTCTCAATTACTGGTGGGGAGCTCCTATTGTTACCTGGCACAATCTTGCTCCACCTTTGCAAAAAATAAGTACGCTGGGAGATCTAGTTGATGTCTTCTTTATGGGTGGAAGAAAACAACACGAGGAAGGAGGGATGGATTTGGGGTCAAGGTTTCAAAGAGGGAATTTAAACAAGTCAAAGGCCTGCCAAAGGACACTCTCAACTCTGCCTGGTCAATACTATCCCCTGATCCCCATTCTAGTCCTGTCTCTGGTTGTGCGTCTGACAGCCTCCGAATCATTAATGCAAAACAGTCACATGAAATCTACACTTCAGAATCACAGAATTTTGGTTCTTGTGCGCTTAAGTATCTATTTATTATTTTTCTTTTGACTGCGTATTTTGGGAGGGAAGCAAATACCTTTCAATTACAGGATTGAAACTCATCCAACTTGAGTAACTTTTGCAAACTCCAATGTAATTCATCAAGCGCTTCCAAAAGAGAGGAGCTATGTTACAGCAGACACAGCACGTCTGAACACTGGAATGACACGTGCTTACTACCCTGCAGCTCCAGGAATGACAAGTCCATACTGAATATATTTTTTCAATGCTCTCCAGAACTTTCCACCCCGCTTCAGTGTTGCAAAGATGTCTGAAAGTTTCAAGTCTGGTCCACTACTTTTCCACCAGTTAACATCCAACCAGGAGGCTGTAGTTTTTAGCATGGTCTTTTTTTACTTACGCATGGGTTTTTGTATGACGAGAAGCATTGGTGATGTTTGCAACACCCAGCTGCAGTCTTCCATTTCCAAGTACAGATAGACAGTGTGCCATTATTTTAGGTTGTGGAGGACTGGGAACACCTGGCAACAACTCCCTAGGTAATACAGAATGTGATGGGGTACGTTGCATACGAGCATCCCAGTAGCTTGCCCAGAGTTTGGTAGACTTGTCCTGTTTCTTCACAATGCCACTTCAATGCACTGACTTCCCCCTTAAGGCCTACACTATATCTGGGCTGATTTTGCTCATGCACATTTCACAGTGCCTTCTCTTTCAAGCCGTCACAGAGTATGTGTGCTGCCACCAGCCCAATCTTGCAGCACTCACACAGTTCTGCTGGATCTGGATGGAGTCCCTCAGATGTCTTTTGTATGCCTGATAATACAAGTTACTGATAACCAGATTGGCTCTGCAGAAATTCAGCTGGAGTCAGCCTGGATTTGTAGCCTGGGCAGCCCTCCAGGCAGATGCAGCGTAAGTTTGCCTGGACCACAGCTGGCCCTGGAATCAACATTCACCTGGGCTCCAGCTGAGCCAGCGAGCCTTTGCAATAGTAGGTATACACACACAGCTATTGAAAACAGGAAAAAAAAAAAGCCAGTATGATCTGTCAGGTATATTTTGGAACCAGTATATGTCCCCAGTTGACTTTTCCACATGACTTTTCCTTCCTTTTCCTTCCCTGCTCCTGTATCTCTTCTCACCACTGCTGTAAGGAACAGCAGTATTGTGTTAAAGATGCTGGCGTAGGATTCAAAACGCACATTCTGTTCCTGGCTGTGTCACAAAAATATATGTGACCTCAGGCAACTGAACTTAGTATTTCTGTGCTTTGACTTCTCATCTTTAAAAAAGGAGACAGTAGTACCTCCCTGGGGCATTCTGAGAAATGTGTTCATGTTATCAGCCTTTCCAAGGCTGCAGTTATGCAAACCATCTGAGAGCCCAACACAAAGTTCTTTCATGCTCTCTCTCACTCCTGCATCAAAACACCTCTTTTCTTCCCAATCAACGTACATCTTTTCCATTGCAATAGCCAGATGGCAGTAACATCTTCAGTTTACCAAATCCATGCCAGATTCCCATCCAGCAGCTCCAGAATTCCAGCAGTCTCTCCCAAAGTATCTGTCACTCCTGGCATTTTTGTCCCCCACCTTCAGTGCTTCTCTGTTCCTTGCCTTTTCAAATAGGCTTCTACCTTGTTTCCCCTCTGACAAAATGCCCAATTTGCCTCTGACTCCTGACACCAGTCAATGGTGTCACCTTCCACTTCTAAAGCTTCTCAGCGTCTTCTTCATGGTTCTTCACAATTCTTCACTTGCACTCAATCCGCTCTATTCCTCCTGTTCCCATGAAATTGCCTCCTCCAGTCACATCTTTAGGCATTTGTCAATCTAGTCTTCACATCCGGGACTCCCTCACGCTTTTTATGATTCAAATGGCTGCTTTGTCACTGCTTTATAATGAACACCTCAAAATCCCTTTCATGAAGACTTTACAATGATCTACCAAAAAGAGGTAGTATAATCACTTTAACCAAAAGTCCTCTTTGGGTCACTTGTCCATGCTTTGTCCGGGCCTCCGTCCCCAGGTGAAATTGTACATGTGTGTTTTATCACCTGGTCTCTGCTACCCAATGTATTTATGTAACACCCCCACCCCCGCCCAGAGGCTCTCAGCAAGCACAGAGGTCTGTGCTAGACAATTCAGTATCAGTATCAAGGCTTTGGCTTGTAAATGCTGTGCGTGGAGGCTATCTTCTACGTGGCTCACATAGCCAATCATCACCTCAATAGCATTTAATAAACAGTGATAGTAATAACGTTATCTAGAAGCTTAGTTTGCCACCCACCTTTGGAAAATGCACACCTAGGTCCAGCTAATCAGATGTCCACAGTGTGTCTACCTCAATTATACATAACCAGATATGGTAAGTTTATTGCCTCAGGGTAAGCTCTATCAGTTTCAGCCCTGTACCTGTGACACACAGGTCAGACTGATCTGTCTGGCCTACAGTCAGAGTAGAACTACTGCCTGTATAATCTTAGCTTTCTGATGCTCATCTGTCCCAGGGACAACCCGTGGTAGCCTTCAAACACTGTGAATCTTCCCTGAAAGGGCAGTCAAGCACTGGAACAGGCTGCCCAGGGAAGTGGTTGAGTCCCCATCCCTGGAGGTATTTAAAAGACTGGTAGATGTAATGCTTAAGGACATGGTTTAGTGGTGGACTTGGCAGTGCTAGGTTAACGGTTGGCCTTGATGTCATCTTAAAGGTCTTTTCCAGCCTAAGCGATTCTATGATTCTGTTCTATGATTCTATGACTCTATGAATCCCAGCACCTCCTGACAACCAGCAAGGCCAGAATCTGCCCTTTCACAGGTTTCAAGCAAGTTTCTGTTCAGTTAGCCCAAAGAGACTACAAGGACCCTTCAGACTTGCTATAAACATCACAAAGGAAAACATTTTAAATACTTTGAAGTTGCTTCCTATTGTTCTAACTTCTGGAAATGCTCTTGTTGAAGAAAGACCTTTTCCACAGGCCAGGTTTCTGTGCAGGCAGCTGGGAGTGCAGTGAGGCCACAATCTCTGTTCACAAGCTCCCAACGGACAACAACGCCAGCAAGAACCGGTCAAGCTGCAGAGCCAGAGAAAGTCAGGCAGAACAAAGGCCTCACTGCAGGTGGCATGATGTCAGAGTGGGCTGGGCTGAGGAGAGGTTGGGTGGTTTTTTTAATACAATCTTGTTGTCAAAGAAGGTGGATGCCACTGTTCAGCTACGTCAGACTCGCCCAACTGGAAGTACCTATTCCCTACATCACATCACCCACTGGGTAACACAAGGGTGATGTGAAATCCTGTGACTGAGCAGATTCCTTGCTGGTAGCAATCACTCCACGGCTGTGCTTAACATTCTCTAGTTAAGTCTTCCTTGTCATCTGACCTGTCTAAAAACAGGAGCTGTCTGCAAACTCAGAAGACAGATTTTGGTTTCAACCTTTCCAGGAGGCCCAGAGTTTTTCTTGGCAGGTCTGTAATCTGAGTTTAGGCCTGCCCTGCTTTCCATACTTGCAAAGCTTCCTGCCAAGCAGACATGCTGCATCATAATGTGCCATCTCTGTATTGTACCACCCTGAAATCCCCATGAGAGACTGTGCTGTCCCACTGTATTCTGGGTATTACCCTACTGTGACATCTCCAAAGGGTCTGGCATTTTGGGGAGTGGGGGAGTGTCTTTAAATGTCCTGTCAGCCCAGGATGAATTTAGCACCTGGTTCACAAACACTGCTGCAACAAGGTTATGGCTAAGTGACAATCCTGACCTTGACACACACCCCTCACTGATGTAACTGTCATGCCCAACAGAAAATACTCACAGATTAAATACTCTATTCTATAATCAGCAAGAGCTGGTGCAATTCACTGAAGCTATTGGCATGAGAGCAAACTCTGTTAATTATTAACTTAGATGTTTGAGACATCTGCTCAGCTCTAGGGGATACAGTACAAATAAAATCTCATCTCCTCAAGTGGACAGCTGATCCCAAGAACATCTCCAGGGATCTGGCCTGCCTTTTTGTTTTGTTCTCCTGTCCAACACACATTCCACCATCTCTTCGTCCATTCAAGGCCCAGGTCAGCCAGATCTGGCAGCGTTACAGGCATCTTTGAACACTACTCAGAAGAAACCCTTATCGGTTTTCTTTGTATTACTGTCCCAGTGGCTGTATCCCATGCACGTCTGGCAGATAGTTTCTAAATAGGACTTCGACCACTGTATGTGCTGCGCTGCAGAATTTGGACTGTCTGGTCCAAAGAGCAAATTCATGTCTGGCGTATTAATTTCACCGGAGTCACCCACAGGGACGAATGTAACCTATCGCTGATTACACATTCAGGGTCAAACTGACTCCCGCATCACTGCCGATGGTGCTGGAGATACGCAGGGTGTAAGGGGTGGCACTGCACACTGTCCTTACCAAATGCTTTGGCGACATCTCCTGGGCAGCTGCATCCTCCGTCCTGCACAAAGAAAAGACGACAGTGAGTGGCAGTGAGCTCACTCAGGGACCCAGTGAGCACTGGCACTCTGCGACCTGCAGCAGAATGGCCCCTGCTCAGCGACAGCGTGTCAAGAGCTGACTGTGCACCATTGGTATACATCATCTTGGTGGAGTTTTTAGGGAATCCCTATTATCCTTTCTATTGCTTTCCTTCTTTAGGCTCATTTACTCTACCACATAGTCTACTGATAGTACCACTGGTAACAGCAGCAATGCAATTTCCTAAATCCCAGAAACTGGAAAACAGAGCCTCCTCTGATGATCTGAATCATTCCCTGCCATTTTAATGAAAGGCTGTGTGATGCAGAGGTACCACAAACCCCTACCTTAAACCACCAAAGACATTTAAAATAACTTTCTCAGCAGTTTACAATACATTAAAAGGTCACAGTGGGAGGGGTGAGGAAATACACCATCAGCTATGTTGGATTTTGATCTGATAATCTGTAAGCAAATCAGGTAATCTAATCTTTGGTAAGTAAAAATGAATCTCTCATCATACTCCTCACTGTTTGCTATTGGTTTGATAAAGAAACAACAGCACTTTGACATCTTTAGCATTTTAGACCTATGTGTTTCAGTTTCAGTGCAGAGCAAAGAAGTGGCTGATGAGGGGGTTTCGGCTGAGGGGAGGGAAGTTATGTATGTGTGATAGGGCTGTAAAAAAGGAATGGCACGTAGCAGAGCTCATCATGTGCCATGGTTCGTTAGGTTTTGTAAAGGTCTGAGCATCAGATGAAAGATCCTTTTACTCTACACAGTCACTCTACCAAGAGGGCTCCCCATTCCTTTGATGATTAGGGTCCGTTGCAGACTGCCAACAGCTTTCCTGCTTTTGAAGCTACTCCCCAGGCTGTATGGTTACTTCATTTTGTTTCCCCTCCCTGTTGGCAGAAATGCATGCCTGTGTATGACCTGCGGCTGAGCACAGCCAGACACCCCCACGATCAGCCATTTTAGAGCTGGCTTTCGCGGGTAGCTGGCAGTGGGGCTGAGTGTTAGAACCTCTCTGTGCACAGAAAAGGATTCAGACACAAACTGAGCAGGTGGATCCAAAAGTGAGTGGCTTTTCAAAGGGCATCCCACTGCAAACAGCGCCTGGTAGAACTTTAAAGGCTTTTACTCCATTTGCTGATAACCTCTAGCACATTATGCCTTTTGTTGAGCTAGACACTCTTGCTGTCAGCTCCAGAAAGGAGTGCTGGGCTGACAGCTGAATCTCTCCTGTTAAGGGCTCTGCTTGTGCAATTCTTTCCCTCTGACAAGTCTGTCAGAGCCTGGAGGAGGGTGTGAGTGTGTGTGCATGTGTCAGGGGAGGAAGAGGCGAGGTAGAAAGAGGGGTCTAATAATCTTCAAAGAGTAGTGTCAGGAATTTGCCTGACTCTGTCTGACTGAGACAGGCTGGCTATGAATGCTCTCTGGTAGATGGGTTTCAGTCTGTTCTTGTTGGGTGGCTCAGTGTCTGACTTTTATAATTAACTCAGTAGTGGCAGCGATGGCGGCTTTATGCTTTTGGAAGTACCATGGGGATGGGGGCCTTAGTATGTAATCATTAATCATCGGCTTCAAAAAATATCACTTTGAATGTCACCAAATTACAAAATGCTGAGCAGACTAAGAGACTTTCCCAAAAACTCATGAGTTACCATTTAAGATAAAAGGAAACGATGATGATGATTCACAGCACTTCTTTATCTGTAGATGTCTCCGCTTACTCCACATAAGCAGGTAAATTTAATGATTCACAGAAAGGGAAACAAAAAGGGGCCATACTAAGCAGTTATGCCAGAAGATGCTATATAATAAAGATATATGCATTAAATCACTTCATTCCATGTGAAAAATCAAGTGCTCTGTTTAGAAAATAAGACTGCTTCTGCTGCACTGTCTGGGAAGTTTCCCCTTGCAGTTCAGCTCGTCCCAACAGGGGCCTGGCTCTGGACTCGAAATGACTTGTAGAACTGCTGGGCTTCAGTCATGGAGCTTCTTGCAGGCTCAGCCTCTACCTCAGAGCCCTGGGGAAATGTATCTGTACAAACTGCCCTGTGAATTCAGGAGAACTGGCATTATTCTGAAGTCAGCCCACTGGAAAGGGTGGCCATGAGGCCCGTAGAGAGAAGAATTCTGAGACAACTGAGTGCTAAGCTGAAGGAGAGGGGAAAACAGCTTGCCAGTCAACAGAACTATTTTAACGTGGCTAAAATAATGTTATTTTCCTCAGTCTTGTTCTCTGAACAGATAAACCATTTTACAACACAAAATTTAGCCTGAGGAAAAGAAATACAGTATGGAAAACCAGTATGAACTGGTTGAATATTTAATATTATATGCAACTTTTAGTAAGTTTATAACTATGATTTATGTTTCAAGCAACCTTTATAATAAACTCTATAACCAGTCCTTCCTACAGTATCAGCAAACAGATAGCTATTTATTATGCAGAAGATATATAAAGTACGTGGCATATACAGCAGTAGAAACAATACATATGGTGCTTTATTCTGAACTACATATGCTGGGCATACTTCTGTGTGGAAAGTGTTCTGTGTGGAGGAAGAGATGGTATGGCAGTAGCTGGGTGAAGAACCCCTTAGGCATCCTTTTCACCAAATGCTGGTGGCCCATCACCCAGGCAGGGTGAAGGGGAAAAACAGGGTTCTCTAGCAAACGATAGCCAAATGAGCAAGGACACATGCAAGGCTGCTTTCCATTCCCCACATTGCTGGCTTACTAGAATACTTGACTGCCTCTCTATCCAGCAGAGTAGCTCTTTGACCTACAAGAAACAGAAACTTTATCTCAAGTAGGGCGTTTCTGAAGGCGCCCTCCTGCTAAATGGCCTCTCCACTGTAACTCACTGCTGGACTTTCTCAAGGCCAATGGATTAGCGAGAATGAAAATTGAGACTATTGGCTCCCAGACAAATAGCACGGGACAGAAACAGTGTCTGTATCTTAGACAGGGTTTCCTCTCTTCTTTCAGTGAGTCATGAAAGATTAATTTCTGAGGTGAGCTTTGAGTCTTAAGGATAATTTAGCATGAGGAAAGTAACTGGTGCAATTTCACGTCCCCCTCCTCTGCGTAAGTGACTCTAGAGAGACACCAGGCGTTCACTTCAACTATCATGTTTGCCTAAAAATTGTCACCTTCTTTGTCAATGTAGCAGCTCCAAAAATAATACCTGATCTCTTCAGTAATACAAACATTTAAAATCCCAGTTTGTGCTGCCATCCTAGCACAGCTACTGCAGAATGGGCTTCAAGTGTGCTGTGTTCCTTGCAGTGCCTGTACTGTGCTCAGCACAGTCACTTTCTCATTCTGTGAGTGGGACTTCTTTCCCTTCATACATAAATTGAGCCAACATAAGAAGAAAGAGGAGCAATTCGATGAAGGTACTGGACAAGACAGAAGTGGATGCAAGGAAGTGCCCCAAGGGACTAACCCATATCACACCATCAGCTATAATCTACATGAAGATAGCTGGTAGGCTTTCAATCTTTCCACATCCTTCCTGCTACTTCCATATCAATATATCAAAAAACTGCTGGATATATTTTCTCCCGCCAAATTGACATAGATAGCTGTGGTAATACTCTGCCTGTAGAGGTCCCCTTTGGCTCAGGCAGGGTGTGCCCCTTCCTGAATCTACGTAATGACAGTATTGAGACATTTTGAGGGATGCCATGTATGCTTGTTGCCACTAGACCCAATTATATACTTTTAGGCTTGCTCCCATATGGTGGTTTTCCCTCAGGAGGATACCTCCCTTTTGTGATACTCTTGGAAGAGCTCTGGCAATGACCATGCAGTCCAGCCTTTTCTTTCCCCAATATACACACCAATGCCTATCTGAATGCTGCAGAATTCAGGTATAATATCCTCACCCTTGCTTTAGTCTCCTTAGCGTGGGTGACAGGGTTGAGTTGCAGTGGTGTTAGAGACCCCCGTTGTTACAGCTGAAGGTAATTCTCTTGGCCCAGATGTTGTAGCAGACAGGTATCAAATCACCCTCCTATACTCCCCCTGTAATGGCTGGGGGGTTGACCGGTGAAGGCTCACTGAAGCCTAAGCAGGTCACAAACTGATCCACCCCCAAAGCAGGAAAGGAGAGGAGGCATAGTACAGAACCATCTCATTTTTCAACAGTCTAAATACACACTCCCTGTTTTCTTGTAAAATCGGGATAATAACGTTCTGAGGGTTGCTAGCAGCAAATGATTTTTGCAAAACTAGGATGGGTCTCTGAGCACTACCGTTAGGATGACACCTATAGTTATCCAGCCTTCATAGTAATGAGTCAGTCTTTCATGCTCTATTGCACACATGTTCTGCTGTCTGCTATAGACATAAACATTTGTAATATTGCCCAAGTCATAAAATCACAGACTGCTTTTCTTTTTTTCTGCAAAATTCATATAGGGGAGCCATGGAGAGGAGAGAATGCATATGCATTAACAATAAAGAGCAAGAGAGATCCGACTGTAACACATACTTGTTTTCCTGCTCCATTATACCCACAGCTTCAAGAAATACAGTCAAACCCTTTGCCCATCCACAGTCAGTTTGTTCTCCTCTCCCCTCCTTCCTCAACAACACAACGTACCCTCTTCCTCACATGGATACTAGTCACAACTGGGTCGAACAAATCAGGGCCTTCCAATTATTTCACTTGGCAGTAGATCTAAAATTCAGTGTGTGGTCTCTTCTAGGGCTGCAGAGGGACACTGTTAGCTGTGAGGGTACCGGTGAGCACAGCACGCTGGTCAGCCCCTGTGCCTTCCTGACTACCAGCTGCCTTACAGCCAGCCTGCAGAGACTGCAAGGCTGACACAGCCAGGGGCACGCTGGCTGGCTGGGCGTGCCTAAGCACACAGGACCTTTGGGTGCTGTAGGCTGCAGTCTAGCTCAGTCTGGGGCCATGCTTACAGATTTGCTTTTTCTATGTGAGGTGAATCTGGTCTTGCTGGTAGTGGAAGCTGCCATTAGGAGGCCATACAGATACATACTCTTTTTTCTCCACAGGCTCACTATTTCCCTAGAGCTTTGTGAGAACGTAAGCGGCTCACGTGCCAGCTGTGCTCAACAGAGCCACCTCTGGAACACTCCTGCCCCTGAACAGAGAGCTCTGTGAGGATGCTATCTGCATCAATCCAGCTACTAGGGCACAGATGGGCTCATACTGTTTTACCTTGTACTCCCCTCTACTGCCTGTCTGTCCCTCAGTCCCGCTCTCTGGGGAAAGCCATGTTTGCATTTCACTCATTTTTCAGAAATCTTTTGTAGGAATTACTGTTTGCTTCAATGTGAAAACACTATCAAGCTTCCTGTTCTGTTCACATAACAGCTTACTCCATTCAGGGAGCAAGAAGCAGCTTTCCAAAGGCACAAACAGGAGTGAGGTGCCCAAGTCTTTTTAAACATTAGAGGGAGTTGGTTTCTTTACATTTAAATCTCCACTGACTACCCTAGGAGCTAGTATACAGGTTAACTGGAGATGACAGAAGGATAGCCTTTAACATGCAGGGTACTGGACTGTTGGATTCTCCGATTCCACAATGATTTGCACAGTGGGAATCTGAGAGGAGATGATATTTACTTACAGAGATGATATGTCCTTTCAAGCCATGTGCTGAGTCTGCACACTCAATAACAGCACTTAGCTGTGGATAGCCCACCCCCGTCTTAATCCGAGTGGTACACACAGAACCTAGACAAGAGAATGAGAAGAAAAAAACATAGCCCATTAGGCCGACAGAAAAGATACGGCTTGATTTCTTTTTCTTGTGGAAAAAATGTGTTTCTATCTGTATTATTTTTTCCCTCAAGAAGTCTCTGTTGCCAGTGTTGGCTTCTCATGGATAAAAAGAACACATAGGAACTTGAGTTTTAAAATGCTATCACACCACTTCATGGGAGCTGTAACTGAGGTGACTAATACCCCACCTTTCTTCTCCAGGGCCACAATTCCCAGTTTAGGTCTCATCAGTAATGCTTCCCGGTGAGCGAATTACTGCATCACGAGAAAGCAAATCTGACTGAGGTGCGTGAAAGGAAGGGGGACAAAAGGACCAGAGCCACAACCCGTGAAACTCAGCAGCATCATTTAATACCTGAATATTTCTTCCAATAAATATTTCTATCTCTTTTCTACATATGTTTTAAAAAATAATTCTCAGGGAGAATCTTTGCTTTTATTTTACTTTTTTGTGGAGATTTTCCACAAAGGAGATAAACCCATCTTTTGCCTAATACTTAAAGCGGGAGTATTTGGTTGATCACAAAAGTTGGGAATATAAGAAAATCAGCACACAGCATTTAAAAAGTGAGATAAGTAATCATCAGAAAGCTGTATAGTGTAATATTACAGGAAATATACTAATTATATCTGATTATTAAACTATACTATTTATACACATGCATGGTGCATGTGTGTGTATATATATATTTTTTTTTTTTTTAAAAAAAAAGGGGATATACATATATATAAAAAACCCACTTCAGTTATAGTTCAACATGGTAACATGGCTATAGATCTTTTGCAATACCTTCTCTATTTTTCTCCTCAAATTAAGAGTCAAAATGAGGACTGCTTTTTGCCAGTCCAGGTCTTATAATTTAGGATACAGACCATAAAGGTCTGCATGATAACAAGAATTTCAGATTAACAAATAACAAACAGATTAACAAATAACAAAACAGATTCTAAACCAAATGCAGTGAAATCTGGATCCCTTCACCCAGCTGATATCCAGATATACTCAAGCTACCAGTAAAGTAAAAGTTTCCAAACATCTTTCAAAGAACTGACAAGGTGAAAACACTGAGAAGTATTTCTGCAAAGTAGGAAGAAAATTAGTTTTAAAATAATCTCCGCAGGGTATGTACTTATATATGTAATGCTTTATAATAAATCACTGCCATTTTCCACAGGATGGACTATTATCTGGAAAAGAGCCTCAAGATCTGATCTTCTGTGAGGAACATCGTTATTTGTGGGCTTGGGTGGTCAACTTGTACAGATCTGTTCAGGAAGATCTCCAGGGAAGGCTACACAGCATTTACTCCTAACTGTTTCCACTTTGAGGCTACAAACTATAATATTTCTTCTTTTATATCTGAACTTGCCTGTGACAATTGCACCACAACATCTCTGTTGTTTATTCTTCATGTCTTTTGCAGTATTTATTGGTTTTTGCTGTCTTCCGGGGCACAACTGCAACCCTTATTACATCACTTGCTCTGCTCAAATTATCCATTCATGAACAACAACTATTTGGCACTGTGGAGTAACAATCTGCCTGCACTGCACTGGCTGATCACAGCTATACTGTCCGTGGCACTTGGGGCTAGCCAGTTTAAAATCTAGCCCACGCATGGTGACCCCAGCTGCAGTCTATGAAGAAAATAGCAAGAGGAAGGAGCAAATGAACAAATGCACAAGGGAGGGAAAGAAAAAAGGGAAGACAATATGGCAGTATATGCCAGACAACAATATTAGGGAAGGGAAGGTAGGAAAAACACTGTGAGAAGTTTAGGGTCCTCCCATTTATCCATGGGAATGTTGCAGTGATAGGTAACATATAAGTGCATTAATGTAAGTATTATAGCTCCCAGGCAGTAGCAACAGGTAGAGGCAATGTTATCCATACGTCACACTTAATTAATGCCATTTCATCTTTGAAGATATTGACAAGATAGGCAACCTCAGTACACAAATCATAAAGCTATTTAGAGACCTATCTTCCCTCGACGGAAGTGGATACCTGAACACAGTATCCTTTGAGCTGGGATGACTCAGCCTCTTTTCAACAGGCTAGAAAAAGTGTTCCTAAACACAACGGACATTATCACTGATAATGTCAGTAACTCGGGCAACTCAGTGCTTCCAATAATAGTCATCTTCACTGCCAGAAGACAGAATACGTAACACTTTGCAGCACAAAACACTAGCACCCTGCCCCTGTATTTCTTAAATATACTATGTGCAAGGGCACTGTTACTTTACTGACCTGAGTGGGTCTAGGCATCCTAATGGGCAAGCAAACAGCATTCTACACTGGTTCCATCTGGACAACTTCCCCCCACGTTACCATAAGTCACCCTTATTTGACTGGATTTGACTTACCTGGTCCGATACCCACTTTAATAATATCTGCTCCGGAAAGAATAAGTTCTTCTACCATCTCTCCTGTCACCACATTGCCTGCCTAGACAGAAGGAACAATATCACATATATGGGAGATTTCAAGACTACTGCAGTAAAGACTAATGATGATAATGTAGAGTTTTATCTAGAGCTTTTATGAGTTGAACTATATAGAGTCAGGAAGAATATAGTTCACCATATTGTTCATTGTGCATGCCACAGAGATCAAACAAATCATACAGGTACATTATCAAGTGAAATGAATTTCGTGATTGGTGCAGTAAACCCCAATCCTTAGGATCCCATCAGGATACCTGCTTTGTCTTCCATCCCGCTAATCCTCATTCAGCAGCTCTCAACCCTAAACATAAGGGCTACACAGTACAACCTCTCCCTTACGTGCAGTGCAACTCCTCCACCTCTCCTGCTCTGCCTATCCCTCCTGAAGAGCCCATAGCCCTCCATCCCATTTGCCTACCTCACTTTGTGGGAAGATGCTCAGATCTTATCTAAAACCCTGGCAAATCTCTTTTTCCTTTAGGATTTAATATTTTGAATACTGAAAGAGTAAGAAAGGTATTATTCTTGCCATTTTGTACTTTGGTGCCAAAATTGGTATGTACATTTAGATTATGTAAATAAGGGTATTTATACCATATACATTCATTTGGTTGTGGTGAAGCCAGAGGTGAAAGAAAGGGGTTTGGTTCCCTCTGCATGAACTTTGCAGAGATGCAGACAGCATGCTGTTTATGGTGAGGTCTTCTTCTCGGAAAGAAGTCCTGAATTGTTTTGTGTTCTTTACCATATTTTTCCTTGCACTTTCATAACTCTTTTCCTCCTTTGGCCCTCATCCTCGATACCTTCTTGAAAGTGATGGCAGCCCTCTCAGCCTTTGTTTTGCTCCTTCAAGTAGTCTTCTTCTGTAGGCCCTCCATGCCCCTAATCAACTGCTTAGTCTTTGTCTGCCTTCATCCCAGACAGAATTTCTCTTTCTTGAACCTGAGGAATGAGAACTGTCCATAGTGGTACAGGTGAATTCTCACCAGCGCTTTGCACAATGCCTGCCTTTCCTATGGAAATATCTTGCCTGACGCACAAGAATGCATTTGCCTTCCAGCCCCTTCATCAGCTTTGCTGCCCTCCTCTGGACACGTTCAAGGACCTTCACATCCTTCGTAAATTGTGGGGCCCAGAACTGCACACAGTACTCAAGGTGAGGCCACACCAACACTAAATACAGCGGGATCATCACCCCTTTTTGACCAGCTGGTTATGCTGTATTTGATGCACCCCAGGGTGCAGTTTGCCCTCTTGGCTGCCAGGGCACACTGCTGGCTCATGTTGACCCTGCTGTCAACCAGCACCCCCAGATCCCTTTCCGCAAGGCTGCTCTCCAGCCACTCCTCTCCCAATTTATACTTGCGCCCCGCATTACTCGATGCTAGGTGCAGAATCTTGCATTTCTTCTTGTTCAATTTCATGCCATTGATGATTGTCCAATGCTCCAATCTATCTAGATCCCTCTGCAAGGCCTCTTGTCCCTCGAGAGTCAACAGCACCTCCCAGTTTCATATCATCAGCAAACCTGCTAATGGTGCATTCAACTCCTGCCTCCAGATCATTGATAAAAATATTGAACCAAACTGGCCCTAGAATTGAGCCCTGAGGAACACCACTGCTAACTGGTTGCCAGCCAGATGTAGCACCATTCACTGCACCCCTTGGCACCCTGCGCTTCAGTCAGTTCTTCACCCAGCGCACTGTGTACCTGCTCATCCCACAGTTGGACAACTTGTCCAGAAGGCGCTGTGAGGGACAGTATCAAAAGCCTTACTAAAATCCAGAAAAACTACATCCACTGCCTTCCCTTTTTCCACTAGGCAGGTGACCTTATCGTAGAAGGATATTAAATTAAACAGGACTTGCCCTTTGTGAGCACACGTTGACTATGCCTGAATATTGCATTGCTCTTTAAATGTCTTTCAATAGCACCCAGCGTGATCTTCTCCATAATTTTTCCAGCTACTGAGATTAGACTAACAGGTCTGTAGTTTCCTGGGTCCTCCCTCATGCCCTTCTTGTAAATTGGAATAATGTTGGCTAGCTTTTTGTCAGCGGGGACCTCCCCAGTCTCCCAAGACCTTTGGTAGATGATTGAGAGGGGTCCTGCTGTAACATCCACTAGCTCCTTCAGTACTCTGGGATGAATCCCATCAGGCCCATCATTCCATCAACCCATCAGATGTTTGAAAACCAAGTATGGTTTGGATTTCAGCTCTGTGGCTTGTCTCTTGTCTACAGCATGTTCCTAACTAGAAAAACGGCACAAAACAAACTTGTATGAAACACGAGTCCAGTTTTCCACATCATCCATTTTGCGCTTGTACTGAGATGGACTATTCATTTGCGGAGATCTGAATTTAGGATCAGGAGATGTTCAGAAAACGTCTTACATAATGATATTCCAGGACTTAGCAAGTGTTTGTAGCAGTACTGATAGGGGCAGAGCAGGAGACAAATCCGAAAATCCTTACTTAATATTTTCTTAGTTTTTATTGAAACAGAACTCCTGCAGAAGTCAACAGGAGCTACCCAGGGAATGTTGGGCAAGGCCTATTCTCCACTTACTGATTTTTGGCTCCTATTTCACCATTATTTTTTTTAAATGAATTTTACTTCCCCCTTTTATTAGCCTGAAACAGCTGACAAGCCACCACCTGAGGCACTTATAAAAACAATTATACTGTTAGGCAGCAATTTGTGGTCTATGACACAGGACCACTTAACTTTGCTCAAAACTGCATGATATTGATTAAAAATAAAATAAAATAGAACAGTCGGGAAATAAGGAACATATAATAGGTACAGTGTTTCCAGCTAAGTGCTGCTTCCTTTCTGCTCAGTGGTAATTTGTTATACTAAGTGTTGTACACTCCAAGGTGTGGTGATGGAGAGCATGCTGCTTACAACATTAAGGAAGCAGTTCACATCTGGAAGGCAGATGACTACCTGTGCAGTATGACATGCAGCACATCATTACAACTTGGTGAAGTACTGGAGTACATGCAACAGATTCATAAACAGGAATGAACGGGTATGAAAGTCAGTGGCTCCATGAGATTTGGGATCAAATATGTATTTAACTTAAACAGCAGTGTCTTCTTATTAGCCGAGCATAGTGGGTTGTCAAACTGTCTCTTCAGAAATGCTAACCAGACGTTTAATGTTAAGTTACTGCTAGAAAATGCTGGAACTGCATATGTTGATTCAAAATGCTCATCCTAGCAGGGAAAAGCACTTATGTCCCCAGCATACTTTTTTTCCTGGAATGCATGTACACACATCAGTGGTTTCTGTCTTTCTGAATCTGCAGATCCTTAACAAATTTTCAGGGAAGACATGGAGCTCTACATAGCAGACTTCAACCTGCCGACGACAGGCTTGCTTCTTTTAGATACCTTTTGCAGACCTCAGAGAGCACAAAAAACACCACTACGAGAGAGGCACAGCTATCTGTATGTGAAGAGACTCTAGTATCACAGCTGAAGAGCAAGGAAAGCTGTTGTCTTACATCCAGCTGAACTCTACTTCCACTGAAACCAATGCTTCTTGCTTTACCATCGATGCCAGTATGACAGCTGAATAGAGACAAAAGGGCTTTTTAAAGCCCCACCTGTAAGGTAAAGCCAGAATACTTCAACTAAAAAAAAATCTGAAAACATGAATATAGAAAGACTGAGACTACAGAGATAAAACCTCCTTAAAATTAACTAAGACTATAAAGCAAGTAAAGCAATTGGAACTTGTACAAAGAAGCCACTACAGACAATACGTTTTGTAGTGTATTTGGGCAAGTAGTCAGGGAACATAGTAATTGGTGGAAGTACTGTATTAGTGAAAACCATGCTCATCTTAATGATGAGTCCATGTATCAATGCATTTCTAATCTGCTACAGAACTGGCTTCCTTGAAAGAGATATAGCCCAGTAATTACCTTACTGCTAATCTAACTTTGCTACCCCTGGCAGTAAAATAACAGCATCAGTAACAACTGAAAGTCAGGTAAACTACCATGCTTTCAGTGCGGCCAGTTATTAGGGGCTACAACAAATTACCCTGGCTGTGGGCCTGGCCTTACACACTCAGGGCGACATTCAGCTGTACCATCACTCAGTGTGAGGTTTCAAGTGAGCGTCACCCTGGCTCATTCCAGCAGTATCTAGGATGACTGAAGTGTGGGTCAGTCCTAAGGGAAATCCTGGCCTCAGAAAAGTCAAACGGAGTTTGACTACTGACTTTAATGGGATCAAGATTTCACCTAACAGGATTATAAAGGCTACAGCTTCTCTGACAGAGAAGCAAAATTAGCGAACACAGTAGGGCAGTGCCTCTGAATTTCAGTCAGGCATTTGATACTGTGCCTCATAAAAGCCTGCTATAAATACCGACTCACACTGACTAAGACAAGAACACTGCCTCACTGATTGAAAGCTGCTGGCAAATGGCAATGGATCAAGCTGGGGAGAAGTGTCTGTGACAACAGTTCTCAAACTTTCTTCTTGTATCCTAGAGGAAAGCACAGTCTGTGCCTCCACACTATCAGGAACACTGCCAAAGGACACTTCCCACCCACCAAAGCGAGGGGTGCTTTACCGTAAGATGGAGATGATGCCCTTTGCGAGGCTGAGCTGTACCAGGTGGGCGTTTGCACTCAGTATTGTGAGTGACCCAAGATAGCCTCGGCAGCATCACTGTCTCCTACCCTGTGATCCCATCTGGCCCCTGCTCTGAGACCCCAGCCCTGGTGGGGGTGACTGGATTGACTCTGCTGCTTTTCCAGAGATAAACTGGGAGCAGTCTGCATGGCTTTCTCTGACTGAATTATGCCTCCATTAAGGCCCTGAGAAGTTCTGCTACTGACTCCAAGGGGAGCAACAGTTTCTGGCCCCTGCTGTTTCCCTCTGCTCCTGCTTTGCGATTCCGCTTGCATCCTGCTCTGGCCCATATCTTGTGGGTGCTACTGAATCTGCAAGTGTGCTCCTGCCCCAGCATCTTCCTTACTGCCACACTCCCTGCTCCCCTCCCTAGGGTTTCTTCTGTATAATGAACAAAGAACGCTGCGAAAAAGAAAATTCAGGATAAAAACTTGGCAAAGCTTGCTGGCAAAGATATCTTAGCTTGCTAAACAGACTTCCCGTGAAATGGAAGAACGCTAACATCTACAATTACACTAATAAATAAGGACTACGCTTACTGTAATATAAAGCCTGTGACCCTCCATCATGAATGTCAACTGAGGTTTTGCTTTAGACTTCAGTGAGCAGGCACAACCCAAGCACATGATGCTGTGCTACAGCAAACACCCCACTGGACCATTACTCTTGATCCTGGGGGGCAGTGCTGCATTTGTAAGACATTCAGGAGACTTGAATACTGCTTCTTCCTCCGTCCTCAATCTAACAAGTGATTTAAGGAAAGTCATGTTGTACCTTTGTGCCCCTGTTTGTCTTCCCTATCCTTTGTGTTCCATGGAGAAACTGATCTTCTTTGTAAATTAATATGAAAGGCAGGAGTGAAAAGAGCTTGGGTCAGAGCCAGGCAGAAGAAAATAAAGCAATGTGATTATAAAAGCAAGTATTTAAAAAGGCAAAACCATGCATTTGAAACCTTGTTACACAAGAGACATCTTCCATCTGCACTGGATCGGCCACAGAGAGTACTACATTAAGCACAGTTGCTCTGCACATCACCTTTCAGCCTCAGAGCTGAACCCATTACATGGCCCCTGGGAACATACGTTCCCTGACACCCCGGGTCGGGTTACTGTTATGTACTGCACTGCAGCTGACTGTGGAATGAATGGTCATGCTGAGGAAAGCAAACAAGACAGCCTGCAAGGTCCTGGAGATCACTTTCAGCTATGAGAAAGCTTCTTTATTTTTATACCTTCTATTTAACTGCTAACCCTTTTGTTTGAAAGCCACAACAGCAGAGAGCATACTGCAGGCATAGCACAGAGACATCAAAGCAGACAGAACAGGTAGCAGCAGGACATGTCTTCCAGAGTATCATAAAAAGGAACCTATACGAGCTCCTGCATTTCAGCCCGGAATAGCTTCAAACGGCCATTTTGGCACAGAGCGTAAAGTAAACTCATTTGCAAGTGGGGTAGAGGTGTGTGTCCCTAGTTGAACCAGAGACTTTCAGGGACTGCACAGGCTCTGGAGGCTTTGGAAAACAGGAGGTTTTTGAACACCCCAAGTTTGTTAGCAGGCTTTTCGGAATGGAAATTACCCCTGTGCAGGAGATTACAAACATGAGCCATACTAAACCATGTTCAGAGAAAGGAGCTACAATCAGAGAAGGCAACTGAACAGGTCAGGGCTGTATATGTGCTCAAGCAGGTGGTGCTTTCAGGGCAATGAGATGTGAAGTAACAATAACCTTAGTCACAGAAGCAGAGAAACTAAGTGTGCAGCTTAACAGATGTGGGAGGTGGATGAGACTGGCTTAAGGACCTTGGACTAAAACCTGGGCTTGATACCTGACTTTGACATTGACCTCCTATGCCTTCTGGGCAATTCGTCTTGGCTGAGTTCCCTCCTCAGTCAGCAAAATCAGTAGTCTGTGAGGAGGTGGAGGAGGGGATGACACACAATTTTCTTTCCACTCCTGATATGGAAGATTTTTTTTTTTTTTAACTATGTGGTTTAAGCTCCCTCCCACAACTCTTCAAGCCAAAGACACTGGAGTAATCACATCACTAGGAACAACACTTCAGATCCAAAGCAAGGAAACAGCTCCTTCCCTCACTGCAGTGAACATGGAGCAGGAATCTCAAAAAGCCCACATCTATGATTTCATACTTCCAAAAGCTCTCCCCAAAGCCATGGGAAGTATGGTCATATCAAAAAGGTTGCCACATCTGCTGGAAGCTGTTGAAGGATGCCTATTCATTAGCCTAAGGTAACCCAGAACCCCACAGGCCTTCCAGCCCACCTCCATTTTCCAATGCCACCATTGTTCCAAGGCAAGAACACAGACTTCCTCCGACATGGGAGGAAGGAAGGAATGTAGTCTCCCCTGAGCTGCTTGAACGTGCAGTTCCCTATTGAACCAAGTCAGAGTGTGTGTCTATGACCACTTTTACTTCACATTTACTTCACATGTGTGAAGCTTTGTGTCTGGCATGAAAAAGTGAGGAAGTGTTGCCTACACATGATTTTTTTGTTGCACTGGCTTGAAGAAAGGCTGGTAGCCTCGTGAAGAATCTGCTGCTTGTTTGAGAATTTCTGCTATTCTCATGGAAACAAATTCAGACCCATTTCTTCAAGGGCCCTGGGAAACAAGCAGGAGCAGTAGGGCTCTGCGGAAAGGAGGCCTGTGTTGATGCAAACACCCTACTCTTAGTGCAAAAGTGCTGGAAGAAGCATGCCATTAGCGCTCTGAGATTGGACAGTAACCTCACAGAAGGCGCATGAAAAGCCCCAGCATTGACTATTTTGCTCCCTGATGACCCCGTTCATGATTGCACAACACCCCTATGATTCTTATCATAGGCAAGGATTAGTCTACATTCAGCTGTCTTCATAGTGATCTAATTGATGAAAACAGCCATTGGCCACATTCCCACAGCAAACCTCAGCTTGGAATCACCAACATAAACCTACACACTTTATGATTAGAGGTCACATCTGGTGTGGGAAGGAGGATGTGAGTAGGAAAAAAATTGGATCCACCCAGCCTGTCATGCCAACATCAAACTGCTGTATCAGAGCACACATTGAACATTCCCACAGAAATTATCAGCAATGGAAGACTGACAATGCCAACATGTTATTAAACAGTCGTCATTTGGCTCAGAGTCAACATCTTGCTGAATTGAAAGGGTAGATGAATAGAGCTGCCCTCTGTATTCTCAGAAGGGTATCTGTCTACATATATTTGTCTGGAAGATGAGAGGTTTGAGTCAGACTTTTCTTTCTTTCATTCTTTCTTTCCTTTTTTTAAATGAGGAATCAGAAATTGATGGAGCTACCACAGAGCTTCTGATGCCTACCAACCAAACTCTGGGCCCTGTTCCTGGACAGAATTCCCACACCCCCCCCCTTCCACCCTTTCTACACACTTACCATAATGGTGTGATGTGGGAACAGGGCACGGACAGACTTCACAAACTCCACAAAGTGCTCTGAATAGCCATTTGCCACATCCAGGCAGATGTATCTGATAGGTGGAATGGCCTCTAGAATACTTGTTAACTTGTCCAAATCAGCTTTTCCACTACCTGAGCTTGCTGCCACATGCTACAAAGACAGGGAGAACAAAAGGGAGCAGTAGTTTGTAAAAACTGGGATAAGCACATACTTCATATGTCTTTTTCTGCATAGTCTTGGGAGAACTTGTGCTAGAAACTAGTGAAAATCATGCTACATAATATGAAACAAATACCTTCCTGGGAATATCAATGTGTTACTTCTGTTTTGTTTAAGGTTCTAAAACAAAGCAAAATTAGCATTTTATCAGCTCTTCATTTACAAGTGGATTCTCATAGGCAGATACAATCACCTGAGATGGATGCAGGCTCAGCTGTACTCATATTAAAATAAACACACAAGAAGCCCTAACTTGGTGTATTTCCAGGAAGGCAGAGTGGCAAAATTTGGGGCAGTGTCAGAGAGTGGAATCTGGGTCTTTAAGTTCACCAAACACTCTCTTGATCTACAGAATCACAGAATAGTTGAGTTTGGAAGGGACCTCTGGAGACTGTGTAGTCCAACCCCCTTGCTCAAGTAGGGTCAGCTACCATTGAAAACAAGCAGATTGCTTCCTCCTTTGTTTTCCTATGAGTTCTTTCCAATCAAAAAATAGTTTCCACAGCTGTTGGCCTACAAAACCTCTGCAGAGACCCAAGGTCACAGAGCAAGTCAGTATTTAATCACTAGGAGATCCTGCTCCAGTGATTATGAACCACAAATGAGTTAAGTACCAAAGCGTTCAGACACAGGATATTCCTGGGACCCCTTTCTACCCCATACTGGCATACAAGCAACCCTGATGAACTTAAGTGATAGGCTGGCTTTCAGACAATCTTGTAATCAATAGTCTTTATAATATAATTCTAAAATGTGCCACAGGTAAAGATAAAATGCAGCTGTGTAGTATTCTTTTCTATACAGAATAAGTTTCGAAACTCCACTGAACTCCTAGGAGGAGGGGAGACAGCCAGGCACGCTCTTATACTGCCTCTCCTGGTGTAGAGGCCGGCCAGAAGAACGCAGAAGAAATCTGGATATGAAAAAGTCGGAACTTAGGTCAATGTTTAAATATATTAAATGGTGTTTCTCTGTAATGGCTCAGGCTAGGACCCTGTGAACAAGTAGGGCAGCACATCTAGTAGTAGCATAGCGTGAGCTCTAGTGCAAGGAGGTAAATGTAGGACACATATGCTCTGACAGTTTTCAATGCTCATCTCTGCTTGGGCCTAGCGCCTGGGCCCCTCCAGCTGGGAGGCTCCGGGCCTGCTTCCACACCTGGTAGCAAAGACTCTGCCTAGCACAAGGGTGTGCAGGGCCAGCTTGTGGTTGAGTTATTCAAGGCTATTTGCATTTGTGGTCTTGGGCTGCTCCCTCACCAGCACTACCACAGCTCCCAACAGCAACAGAAGCACAGCAGTTAGACCTATTCCCAAGTATTTCATTCTTCTCTGTTCAGGATACTTCTCTGTTTCCATTCTGGCATATGTAAACTTTGCTTTTTTGCATCTTAATATAAGCACTTTCATAATGGACTCACACAGCTATTCTTTTTAAACCAGGACAAGCCACTTCCCTTGATGCATTTAAGAACAGCAAATATCTTCATTCCCCAAAACCTCACTTGACAACAGTATTCCCAAGAGACTCCAGTGTATGTGAGTTCAGAACAAAGCAATAAACCATAATAATTTACAGTATGAAAATGTACCTCAAGGCATTCTGGGTGATTGGCAGCAAACAGTTTCCATTCTTCCAGAGAATAATGCTTGTGAATTGCAGTGAACATTGCATGCTAGCAAAAATAAGAAAACTGATATTAATGTCCAAGTTAGTCATTTTTCCCTCAGCTGCAGCATAACAAGATATCAGAAATTCCCATTTTAAGTATAGGCTCATCCTGCTTGAAAGAAACAGTAACAGCGAATAACAGACCAGGCAACTCCAAATGGCTCCTCAAAGGTAACTTAGCATACTTAGCCAGCCTTTCAGGATCAGGTTTCTGATGTGTTTCATGAAGTTACGGTCAATATTTTGAATGTGCTTAAGCACTGCAAGAAATTAGGGTGAGTCTGGAGGCCAGAGGCTAATTAATTAGTGACTCCTGACTGCTGCAGCTTTATCCAGTAACCTACACTTTCAAAACTGTTGTCAGCTACTAATTTTTTCTGGAAGGGAGCACAATATAGACCTCAAAAACTAAGCTCTAGAAGCTCCACCTGAAGCTGAGCTACACCCAAGATGGAAATGTCCCAGCAAGCATCTCCACTGAAACTATCTTATACCTGGAGCCTTGTCTCTGGTAACTGTATTCCTGTAAAAGCACAGCTGCTTTGCAGTGAAAGCACACGTTCTTGTTCTGGATTTTTTAACTCATGCTCCCCTGTTCTCCAACAAACATAGCTAAAAATTAACAAAGGCTGCTCACTGTCACCCAGTGGCTTCCCAATTGTTGCAGAAATGAGAATCAAGACTTACTTTTGCCATAACCACGGCCATTTCAAATGTCCCCACAGTGTCCATGTTTGCCACTATAATGGGAATTCCTGTGTATGTCTGCTTGGAGTTGCGGAAGGTGAAGGTGCGCGTGAGGTCGACCTGCAATGAATAGGCACACATTCTTTTAAGTAATTGACTGCAATCTAACAAAGAGTTTTGCCACTGACTTCAGATACAGCAGGTTTGGACACTGCTTCTTAATTTTCCTCAGGTTTCCTATTCTTCCTCCTTTCATTCCACTATTACCTCACTTTATTTATTTATTTTGTTACAACTTCTGCCTTCCAAGTAAGAAAATATAAAAGTAAAATAATGTTTTCTGTGATAAAGAGAGTTCTTGCTGAAGAAAAAGAGAATCAAAATAAGAAAAAAAAAAGAAAGAAGGGGTTGGAAAGGAAAGAAAGGACAATGAGGACTGTGGATTATTTTATGCAGAAGTAACCTCAGCTGTTTCTTTGGCTGCCTGAGAAACACACATTGAAGTCCTAACTCCACAGAAGTCAGAACTGGAACTCCCCTCTGTCTGCAGGGCATAGAGGGCTTTGTCCCAGTCTTTATTGTAAATGACAATATAATAAAGCAAGCTCTTACTTTTGGCTATGGTTACCAGCACTCTTTCTTTCCATACAACACGAACAATCATACCCTGGCTTATTAAAGAATGAGGCTGCTAGTTTCTAAGTTAATTTCTTACAACTGCGTCAGCCTTCACCTTCAAAGTTGTTTCTTCTTCAGCATCCTCAAATGATCCTGGTAACATCAGGCATTTTGTTCCTTACATTTGCAAGAGGTAATATCAAATTTAGATCAGTTCCCACTGGTCTACTTAGCATCTTGCAAAAGGGAAAAAGAAAACCTCTAAGAAATGCACAAGTGTAAGATATTAGGTTAGTCTCTTTAGTAATAGTGAAAATGAAGGCTCTTTCATAGTTTTCATTACTCCTTACTTCAGCTTTAATCCAGGAACATCCAGAGACCTGAAATGAACTGAAATCCATCACCAGAAAGGAAGCAATATAAAAAATATAGGACCTTGATTATTTATTTATAACATATTTTGAGCACTGTCATATTTCAGGCTACATTCTGATTGATTAGTATGGTGGGGGCTTTACTACTGATTTGTATAAGATAGAAGTTGGTGCCTCAGTGATACACTGTGAAACAGGTTCTCATTTTGTATAAGCTCAAAAGGGAAGGGTCACTTTGGTGAACAAGCTAAGACACATCTTAATGGAGACTCACCCTTCTTCCCATTTACTGTCAGAGAGGCCCAATTCTCCACCCATCACTGATGACATAACATTCTTATGGGAATTGCAGCTGCAGCTAACATGAGAAAATAGCATGAAGAAGATAGATATGAAATAAGTATGAAAATTTAATGTATTTTACTCCCTTTTAATGCAATTTATTAACTCAAACCAGGGGACAAAAAAAAAAGACATAGTATCACACAACCAGTTCTACACAGTCAATAGTACCAGAACCACTGCCTTGCAGAGAAAAAACATCTCTTTCAAATGAACTTAAGAAAGAAGTAGAGAAGAAGAGCATGTTTAAGAAAAGACTGAGGCAAGATGCAAAGCTGTGCAGGGAACACACGGCCATTACTTTTCCAGTGATTCTCACCTCCGCTTACTGTAACTTCTCATATGTGACTTCGTTTAACCAGCCAGCCAGATGGATCTCACGCAATTATCCACACAACTGATAATACTGTAACGGCAGGCATCTATGAGGGATAATTGCAGGGCTTCCCCTAATGAGGCTTTTGTTCTATAAGAACAGGAGAAATGGCACACTGGGTTGGAGATGTTTATGTGGTGCCCTAGTTCTCCAAACAGCCAGTACCAGATGTCTGGGAAGGCAACATGAGAACAAGGCAAGTTTGGAAAGACTCTTCCCCTAGCCTACCTTCCCGGGTCCCAAGAAGCTGATGCTTCGAGACCTTCAAAGACAAAGGTCTCCTCCAATCCATTGTGCTAAATAGCCACTCATGGGCAAAGAACTTGCCTTGTAATTTTTTTAATCCTTCATACTTTTAGCCTCTCCAATATCCCATAGCAAAAAATTCCAAAGATGAATTATACGTTGCATAAAAACTATGACCCTTGCCTGATAATTACATTCGGTGCTTCCTACTTCTTGTTTTGTGAAAGACAATCAACAGCCACTTCTCAGTTTCACCTTTTCCATTCCACTCACTTCATAGACTTCTAGCATATCCTCCACAGTTGCTTCTTCTCCATACTGCATAGTCCTAGTATGTTTAGTTTTTTTCCTCATGAGGAAACCAGTCAATACTGCTGATCATCCTGGCTGCCGTTCTCTGTACGTATTTTAGCATATTATGCTGTTCTTGTGAAGGGATCACCAGAACTGTGTACCCAAGACGAACATACTGAGGAGCATCACAAAGCTAACTGGTTTTCCTTAGTTCCTCTAGTAGCACTTCTGACCATCTCTTTGTCTCTTTCCTGAGTGGTTAACAGCTAATTTATAGCTTATTGTTCTATGCATTATGAGAAAATAACTTCTGACTCTAGGATTGCTCACCATCACTCAACAACAGTAAAAGTTTCTTTAGAAAGAGAATCACGAAATGTATTTTATAACTCTTACCTAGACCTTCAACATATGAAACCACTAGGACATTGACTGTTCTGTTAAAGCTCCCTGGACTTATTTGAATTTACAAATTTAAATTAATGACTAGACTTTCTACAAGACACTTGTCTGGTGAACTTAAAACGGACAGCCTGCAGAGACAAGTCCAGCAAAGGCAAGAATAGCAGGCTATGTGAGTACCAAGACCCCACAGACAGATAATGCTGCTCCCACTCCAGTCATTGTTTTAACGAATTTTGACACTTGAATTCAAGCTTCAAATTTTCTGGTATCTTTTCAAAGAGAGAAAGCAATCATGGAAAATGAACACAGTGCAAGGAACCAAAACCAAGTACCAACATAGCAGACCTACAAGAAGAGCTGCAAGCACCCCAAACTGCCTCTCTAAGAAGCTGACTTAACCCTAGTTACTGCATAAAAAGCTATCCTTGCGCAAAATGAGGTATTCACACCAGAGAAGCACACGCTTGCTGATATACGCTTCAAGGCAGCAGCTTGCTGGGTAACAGGCACTGTAGTATGCTGCCTCTGTTCCTCTGCCAGAACTATTTATTTATATTCTTGTTTTGAAGCAGACTGGGGCTGTCCATTTCAGATCTGGCTCTCACAGACACTGTTTATTCCTGTTGCTACAGCCTCAGTGATGGTGTCCAATTTCTTAACCTTCATCGGTTTTTACTGACCCCCCTCATGACATGCACTTTTTCTCATGTGAAATGTTTTTAACAGTTCATCATAGCCACCCGTTACAACCCTGCCATATCAGCTCGTGTTCCTCCTATCATTTTCCCTTCCCAGCAGCCCTTCTTTCCACAGCCTGAACACGGCTAAATATACAAAACACTGCACTGGAAGGAGCCATATGTGACTCGGTGGAGCACAGCTCCACCTGTTTGCCAGGCCAGCACAGTGAATTTTAGAGAGGGACCATAGGTCCCCAAGCAAATGGCTGGAAAGGGCCTGCAGGCCTTGTGAGCAGTAATTGCACATGATCAGGAGTTACTCAGCCGGGACCCCATTCTTTGTAAATTAAGAACAACTAGCCTGAGATTACCTTTCTACTCAGAGGGCCTCTCCAATTTTATACCTTCATAATGGCAAAAAAGTTTTGCTTAGTTGTTGCCCTCAAAATCCCTGGCCATAGGCCTGTAACAAACATGGCCACCTTGCTTCCCTTTCCAGTCTTGTCTTTCTACCTCACTCGATTTGTCTCGGTCTCTCTTACAACTCTGCTTCCCCTGGAGAAAAGCTTAATCTTCTTTCCATCCCCCAACACAACGCAATTCCTTCATGAGTCAAACTAAATCCTTTGTTAACCTTGAGGTTACGTGAGGTAAACGAGAAGGCACCTTCAATCCTGAGGCAGCCATCTTTGTTGTAGAGGCAATCCTCATGGGATTTCCTGGGGTCTTTCCTGATCCCTGCTGAGAAACAACTACAGCAATATCCCGGCTAGCAGTGGCCCTGGGGCAGCGGGGACGCAGCCTTGGCCGGGGCGGGGGGGCACGGCTGGGCTCTGCCGGCGCAGGGGAGGCAGCAGCAGGACGCCGGTCGCGGGGGTTAACACAAGTGAGGGTGAAACGCACCCCACCGCCCCGGGCTTCCACCCGATGGGAACCCAGCCCGGGGCACCCTGTGCCGTGGGAAGCGCTCCCCAGCATCTTCGCTGGCTGTTTGTTATTACTACTATTTTTTAAATAGAGCATGTCAGTTACTCGGTAACAGCGCTGCCCACAACCCCCGCGGCGGAGGGCCAAGATGCCTCCGCCGGCCCAAGCTGCGGGGCGCGTAACCGCACCCCCCCCCCCCCCCCGCCCCCGGCGGGGGGGGGGGAGGGCGGGGGGCCGCCAGCCGC